CAACCTCACATGAACTATTTTGAAAACTCCTGGTGTAATATTTTCTCACTACTTACAAATTGATATTTTTTTTAAATATTATATTAAAATAAATACATATGTTTGAATATTTTTTTAAATACATTTATTTTAATATAATAATTAAAATAAATTTAAGTAATCATATATTATGATTTTATCGCATAATTAGTCCGCAGCGAACAATAATAACATCATCGTATCGATAATATATATATATAAATTTATAATAGCATATTCAATGAATTAAAAAAAAAAAAACTAATTCATATAAGAACTTTGAAAATAAGAAAACAAATTAAGGCTTTCTGTGCATAAATTAACACACACACACACACACACATATATATATATATATACAAATTTTCCCAATTTATTTTGATCTGTTTATAATGATCTTCATTGAATCTAAAAAAAAAAATGATTCAGTCAAAAAAATGACACGTGTCCGCCAGGCTTTCCCCACAGCTGAGGAATGTAGGAAAAGGCGGCACTGAGATTATGACCAACAAAAGGATAAAAGCCACGTGATTAATTAAAATGACATCAAGATAATACTTGGCTGCCGTGGGTGTTTGCGTGGCGACCGTTGGTTGGCCAGCACTTGCCGCCACGGTTGAGATGAATTTGAAAATCAGTCCTTGGAAAATTCTTCAAAAATAAACTAAAAGACCGTTAAGGATGGTTTCACTGTCAGTTTAGACTCGACGGACCGAAGCAGATTTTTTTTAAAAAAAAATTTGTTAAATTTATAATAGCTGATTCAAGGAATTAATACAATTAATACATATACAGTTTTTGAAAATAAGAAAAAAAAAAAAAGACTTTCTGTAAATAATATTACGTGTGAGTGGGGTCCGCATCATCTTAACAAAATAATACCAGATAATATTCCTTAAGAAAAATAAGGCTACGTCGGTTGTTAGTACTTAATGCTATTAAAATATGCGGTTTTATTAGGTACAGTATTTTTTTTTAATATTTTACCTAAATTAAAATTTTTATATCTAATGTGTATTTTTTTAATATCTGAATAAAATTTTCTTATCTATATATATATATATGGATATTAATTCATCCGTTTGTTAGTTTATAAGATTACAAATGAATGAAAATTGAAAGAATGCATACAAAAAACATAGTATCTAAACTTGAAACTTTACAGGGTGCAAAGCATAAATATCCAATTTTGTAGGATCGTAATTGAAATCACTATATATATTTTGGGCTTCGTGTCCTGCTCCCATTCCCCCGCACGCACCGCCCGCTACCCTGAGCCGCAATTTAAGAATAGTTTTTGATCTTAATTCTTGATTATGGATGGTACTAACCACTAAGGGCTTTTACATTCGCTTAAACTCATAAATTTTGTTTTCAATTTAAAAATAAAAAAAAATGAGAATTTTATTTTCATGGTTAAAATAAATGAAAATATATAAATAAAATTTTAAAATGTTTTTGCTATTTACAACAATTTTGTAAATATGTATCAACAAGCTCTTCTCATCCAAATAATAAAATTTTAAAATGTTTTTAAAGTTATTTTTGCTTGAATATAATATGAAGATAATTAATATTATCTTCTTCTCAAAATAAATTTAATAATTTTAAGATTCATCATGATCATTTTCAGATTTGAATATCTTTATGTAGTTTTATTTTTCATTTATAATACTATTTTCTCTCCAAAACTTTCAATTTATCATTTGCCACTTTATAATGAACTTTAATCTTTTTTTTTTTTAAATCCCGTAGGAATTTTTTTTTTTTAAATCCTGTAGGAAATTTTATTTCATAAAAAAAAATAGTTACAGGGGGTGTGGCCAATAGTTATACTAAACCCCACACACATACAACTCACTAAAAACAAATAAAATACCTAAAAACTGTTAGCACAAATGCAACTCACGCAAAAAAAAAAAAAAGAAAAAAAAAATTATTATCAGCACGAATATAAGGAATACCCAGGCAGTCCCCTTTAATCAAACGAGAAAACTTTAACGGAAAAATAATTGAAAAGTTAAATTCTTGAGAACTCAAACCTCTTCTCGCATCCCAATTAGCACATTGATTCATTCACGATGAATAAACAGTCACTGTAAATGCACATGATTGAGTAAAGCAATTTTTTTTTTCATATGAACTATCAAAAGCCAAGGATACTCATTTTTCTTATTACAATAGTTCCACAACTCCATAGAATCCATTTTGATCTCAATATTATCCCAAACACAGCTGGCAGCCAAATTCATAGCCACAATCACCTCCTTCAGCACAGATAGGAGAAGCTGCTAAAACTTGCACAAAATACCACAACAGACAAGCAATATTAGAATTTCGCCACATACCACATATTCCAGCAAGCAAATTATTTCAATTACCATCTGTTTTGAATTTCAAAATACCTTTCTTAGGTTTCTTCCACAAAATAACTCATAGGAATAATAATATTATACTGATTAAATACCTTCAGCAGGTCCATGCGCACCGATTTTTTAAATCTGTTATAACTAAGCATTAAAAAAAAAAATTATAATGTAAATAAAACAGGAGAACATAGAAATCAAATTACCCGTATGCTTAGCCTCATTCTTAGCAATCCAAAGAAATCAAAAGACTATAATACGATTATAAGCAAAAAACAAACCTCCTCCATAATCTCTCCAACATTTAGTACAACCGATAATGAAATTCATAAGGACATTTTTAATCTTTTTATCACAAAGAGTAAAAAACCTTGGATCAAATATCTTTAGCAAAAAAAAACAGTTAACAAAAAGATGCTTCACATTTTCCTCATTTTGATTACACATAAAGCATCTAGTGGATAATCTCAAACATTTCACCATAAGATAATCTGTAGGAATAATATGACCAAAAAGCCTCCAAAAGAAAAATGATTGAGACTGTTTAACAAAAGAATTCCAAGCCCAATTTAAATCCAAACTATCAAAAATTGCAAAAACTTAGCAAAAGTTTTAGAAATAGAGCTGCCACATTGTCCTTTAATCTCGATTCCATCATTACCAACAGTGATAGGAAACTTAGTAATCATATTAGCATCTTCCAAACTAACCAAATTTCTCAACTTCTATAAATCCCATGTATCATTGCTACACCAATCTTTGACAACAAAAGTCACCTCAAAAGGACCCATATAAGAATTAGCCAAAGGAGCTTTCCCTAACCGATTATCATACCAAAAGCTACAGCTCCTAGCTCCCATTACTCTATTACTAACATCCCAACGGAAAAACTCCTCATTAACTCTAGCAGCTTTAAGCATTTCCTTCCAAACAAAAGAGTCAGAATGATTTTGAATAATGAAAAAAGGATGAGAATTACCACAATAATTATCTCTCATCAAGCAGGACGAGAAGGAATTATCATTTCTGAATTGAAACTATAACTTCATAAAACCAAATTTCATATTATCATTAATGCTTCTACAACCCAAACAACCATAATGAGTAGGTTTATACGTTTTCAACCAAATCATCCAATGAATTTTGTGATTTTTACCAGCCCAAAGAAGTTTATTAAAGATATTCTCAAGTTTTTTGATCAAAATGTTAGGAATTTTCATAAAAAAAAAGTATGAAGAGGTATAGAAGTAATCACACTTTCAAGTAAAGTAACTTTACCTCCAAAAGACAAAAGTAAATTCTCCGAAGACATGATCATCTTATTGATCTTATCAATAAGACTATCAAAAGATGAACTTTTCTTTTACCTTTATCAAGATTGAAGCCCAGAAAAGTAATATATAAACTTTATTTAATACATTTAGTATAGTCTTGTACCCATTTTTTTTTTTCATTGTAGAAATCCATTTAGAGCAATACAAACTGTATTTATTTGAATTAAATACCAAACTGGGAGCATCTTGGAAATGATTAAGACCATCCCATAATCTTTTGATAGACCTCTTATTAGCATTGGAGAAGGTCACCAAATCATCAGCATAAGCAAGATAATATATCCCAAAATTACCCTTGATAGCATAATACATATTGAGATAATTAGAGAACACACTGTTGAGATATCTGGATAAGTAGTCAAAAGCCATAATGAAGATAATAGGAGAAAGAGGGATCTCTCTGCTTGATCCCCCTAGAAGACTTAAGAAAACCTCATTTATTACTATTTATCAAAATAGAATAATAATTATTCTCAAGAATTTTCTTGATAAAAAGACAGGAAGCTTGATTAAAACTTTTTGCCTTAAAAACCTTCAGAATGAAATTCCACTTGATAGTATCATAGGTTTTTTTAATATGCATTTTAAAAATAACATTTCCATTTCTTCATTTTTTATCAAGCTCCAAAACCAACTCATGGGAAAGCAGAGCATTCTCACCAATAGATCTGACTTTAACAAAATCAAATTGTTACTTAGAAATCAAAATATTGAGATGATCTCGAAACCCGCTAACCACAATTTTAGAAATAAACTTAGAAACCACAATATTAAGACTTATTTTATGCATGAAGTTATCCCAATGTAAAACATTCTTGTTCATAGGAACAAGAACCAAATTTGAAGCTTTAAAATATTTGGGAATTGATCCTCATTTTTTATTAGGATATGCACATCAATATTATTAATATTTATTAATCGGAATGTATAGCTATGCATCCCTACTTGAGTGACACGTCGACGCTCACTTAAAATTTATCAAAATTTCATAAATCAAAATTTATATATCTAATATCTATTTTCTTATATCCCTTGCATCACCCTAATTTCTAAAATAATATCAAAATCATTACCGATTTACTAAAACTAATTTATTTAAAATAAAAAAAAAATTGCTTGCATGTATATTTAAATATCATTTAGGCATTATGCTGCTATATAAATTCAGGGTTATTTATGTAAATTCCAAAAAAGAACTATTTTTCGGCAGAAATGAAAAAAAATTGAAATTTAAAAAGGCCATATATTTCCTAGGATATTTCCGTTGGCGCTCTCGCCGCTCATCTCGCCAACGAATCCGTTCTCTTAAAAGGGCAACACATTTTCCCCATCAATCCCACCCTTAGCACCAAAGTTTCAATTTTTATTCTTCCATGGCGTTCTCCGTTGCCCGAATGCCCGCCGGCAATCTCTGCTTGCCGGCGACAGGAGCTCGCCGGAGACAATCGCCGATCCTCGATCGGTGGGACAGACGACATGCCTGTGAGATGATCGCCACCATCGAACGGCAGAGTCATGAAGCCGAGCTCTCTGCTCTCTCCAATCTCCGCGCCTCGTCTCTGATACAGATGTGGAGGGAGATGGAGGCCGAGGCCAGTCCTCGCGGCGGCGCGGCTTCGACAGCGGCGGAGCTGGTGTTCGGCGGGTCGGATGCGGAGAACGAAAGGGAAAGAAAAGGGGTTGGGAAGATGGTGAGGTCGATGAGTCTCAAGATGTCGTCTTGGACGTCTTCATCGAGCGACGAGTTGGAAATGATGGCGGGGACTAAAGAGCAGTTTCAGAATGGGCTGACGGCGGCGAATTTGCCGGCGTTCGGCGGTGGAGGGAAAGTGGTGAGGGTGAGGGGAAGGAAGGAGATGGAGGGGTTGGTGATGAGGATGAAGGAGGAGAGGCTGAGAGAGATCGCGGAGCTTGCTGAGGAACAGAGAGTCTCTCGATTCCCTTTCCGCGGGAAGATTCAGGTGGTTTCATTCAGCTTTAGATACTAATTTTTTCTTAAAATTATAATTTTGGATTAGATATTTACACTCTCTCTCACTTATCCATACTTTCAATGCCTAACAAAAAATATTAAATGTTCTAACAACACTACTCTTGAGTTCAAATTAGACTTTTTGATCATGCCCAAGAAATAAAGCATGAAACTAGAGAGAAGAGAGGGTAGGGGGGCTTGTCTTGCAGGGGCAAAGAGGGATTTTCCCTGGCTCTTTCGCTCTATTATTCTACACAAATTACGATTACAAATGAGAGGAGAAAGGGAGTGAGCTCCCTACATGGGGCTTAAAAGAGAGAGCTTAGGGATCATTTTACATATACCACGGGTCCTCAATTTATAGAATTACAAAGAGAGAGAAATATAATATTACATATTAACCCTTGCTTTAAGGAGGTTATTGTGGGGCATTTTAGTCTTTTTTGGTAGTGCATGCTGCTTCTTACCTCATCAATCGTTGGATCTGGGCTTCGGTCATCAGCTAGTTGAAAAAATAGCCGGTGGAAGCAGGTCGGGTGAAGCTTGCCGCGTGAAGCATGCCAGGTGAAATTAGACCGGGTGAAGTTAGGGCGAGTGGACCTAGGCCTAGTGGAATTAGGCTGAATCAAGGAGGACGGCTGAGGGGGTGTTCGACCAAGTAGGGCCAACCGGTTGAGTGGTTGATGCAATCTCCAAAAGCGAGCTTACATGTGTCCAGCTTGTCGTTTAATCGATGAAAAATCTCCCCAAGTCATTTTCTTGTCGTACAACTACAATTCATTTTTTGCACTTATATCAAATCCAAAACTTATGTGTAAGAGAGTGATTTAGTTTGTCGAAAAAGTGATCTGATTATCGTATTGTAAATAGAAAAAATTAATGCTATGCACATAAATATTTGGGGTTCTAATATACTTACCACCCAAAACATTGAGCATAACATTTTAACCACCCAAACTTTAAATATTACATTTTGACCACTTTTTTTAATTTCAACCATCCTCTTTTACCCACTATTGAAGGCTTTGAGTAGATGTTTTAGGTGGTTAAAATGTTATATTTAAAGTTTTGGTGGTTAATATGTCATATTCAATATTTTGGGTGATTAGAATCCCCCTCCCCCTCTTTATATATATAAGAAAGTTTGAGTGTGAAGCAAGAAAGTTCAACTTTTTCAAAGTGAAATACACCATCTTATGCATAGGTTTATAGCAGCAAATTATTATAGTTATAAATATCAATTCATAAGAGTTCGATATATAAATACATTGAAATTGTGTGGTATGTATCTAAAATTTTCAAAATTGAACTATGTGGATTGTATCTTAGAATATTAGCAAGTATTTTCATTCACGACTAAGTTAACAAACACCCAAACAAGTTAGCATTTCTTCATATTTTATCTTCACTTTTTTCTTGAGCTTTTAAGCAACTTTAATTTCAGTACATTTGTTCACCAACATTGTCAATCAATCTTAAATCACAACGAGAGAGAGCCGAGGAAGCTTTTGAATTTTTGCGTAAAAAAATAATTATTACATTCTCGAATGCACAACACATTGATTGGAAGCAAACTTAAGATTTCTAAGTTGCAGGGTCTAAGTTGCAAGGTGCGAGCACTCGCTCTGCCCAACTATCCCACCCCTCCTCCCCCACCTAAGCACTATCTCACACCTAAAATTTCATATTTACATGCATAACACTTCAGTGCTTTAAACCTATACATAAAAATGTGTAGTTCATTTTTAAAAAGTGGTAATAGTGCTATCTTTAATGTGATATTAAAGATTTGAGTGATATTTGTGTAAATACGAAAGTTTAGGAGTGAGGTCTATAAATACATTAGAATTGTGTTCTTTGAATGTAAATAGCCCAAAAAGAAGAAGAAGAGCTCTAATTACCAAGCTAAAAACTCATTTTCGCTCAATATGTAATATAAAAAGGCTCTTCAGAATACATTAACTTTTTTTTTATCTATCTCCAGTCATTGATTAGGCTAAGATTCCTCCGACAACAAGCAGCAGCCACCAAAGACCAACACCAACGGTCAATAAAATTTGAATCTGAGGAATTACAGGGAGGATCAAACGGTATATTCTTGAGGTACTTGCGTAAATTCCCTATTATTATTTCAATTTCAGGTACCAACCAATTCTTATTTATTTACATTTTTAAAACCTAAACTTTAACATTCACTTTAGATAATACTCAAATATTTAACATTACATGGAAAATATCATTGATACTAATTTTTCTAAAGTGGAATACATCTTTCCATTCATATGTTTTAAGGTGATCATGACAATAAAATATTAGATATCTAAATATCATCAAAGTTTAGATGTTAGATATGTAAATATATAAGAAATGCATGTTTTGTATGTGAATCTCTCAAGAAGAAGCTTTGTATTACCTAATCATATTAGATTTTTCTTAATTTCACAAATGGTTTTTAAGTAAAGGGACACTTACAGACATACCACACGATTCATGTGTATTTAAATAGCTAACAGCTAAACATTCATATTTACGTACATACCGCTTAATATTATCTGTGATATTGAATTTCAATTAAATCATTAGCTCTCAATAATTGGCTGTAATTGAATTTTTCAAGGGAAATAACTCAAGATATAACTCAGCATTATGCAAACAAAATTGAGTCAGAGGATCATACGACTGATTTTCAAAATTCAGATTTTGGCATTTCAGTCAATCCTTCTGAAACTGAAGAAAGTCAGTTCACAGAATTATTCAGAGCAGAGGATCTTCAAATAGAAAACCAGAAATCTGATGCTTCTAGCAATGAGAGAATTTCATGGGAAAATTCAACTGATTCAAAACTACCCGATGATTCATTGCAAATCTATCAAAGAGAGATTTTGATAGACGAAACTGAGAATTTCACGCGCTCTAACTGGTTATTCGAGCAGAGTTTCGCCGAAAACGTCGAAATCCGAGAGCTACTTGACAGGTTTAATTGGCAGATTACTTTTTATGTTTGTCGTAGAATTTATGAGAATTTAGTTCCAGGTTCTGATGCTTGGTCTGATTCTTGATCAGGAAAACTGTTTCGAATTTCCTTGCTGGCGAGTTATCTCACAAATTGAACCAGCTGATTATGTCATTTATAGAAAAAAAAGGTTTGCAGTATGATGATAAGGGAAGAGAAGGGTGTGAAGAAGAAGAAGAAGAAGAAGAAGAAGAAGAAACAATGTGGAGGCGAAATTATGAGGATTTTTCTGATCAAGATCCTTCTGAATCATTTATGCAAAATTCGTCGGCAAGCGGGAAAGTAGGATATAGTTTCCTGACTAATATGTTTGAAATAAGTAACTTTTTTTTAAAAAAATTGGATGAAATTTACATTTTTTTGAGTTCCTCTATGGTTTTGTGATGTGATAGGACGAGGATGCTATGAATGATATGAGAGATGGTTTTGCACAAATACAGAGTGAACTTTCTGAGCTAAGAAAGATGGTGGAGAGTTGTTTGGAATGGCAGAAGAGGATAGATTTCTCTATCAATGAGGAGTTTTCTTCTGCTATTAATCAATCAGGTAAGACTTTGCATCTTATTAATTATTGTTATGCATGTAAATATGAAACTTTAGGTGTGAGATATGTAAATACATCAGAATTGTGTGCTATGTATGTAAATGGCCCTAAAAAATAAGCCCATGGCTTTCTGATTGATGTCAATGCTGTTTTTACGATGAATATGATGGAGTGCTATTAAATATCTATCATGAAAATAAAAAAAGAATTGTCCGTCATTGATTCTTCAAGCAAAATTATGGGAAGATTTACATGCATACCACTTAATTCCTATGTATTTACATCTAACACCTAAATATCAATTTTTATACATATGCTAAATTTATCAATGCATATGAAAAGGTGTATTTCACTTTCTAAATGTTAAAATAGTGGTATTTTTTATGTGATAAGAAAGGTTTTGGTGGTATGAGTATAAAAAGCAAATTTGAGGTGTTAGATATGTAAATACAAAAGAAGTTGGTGTTATGTATGTAAATGCCCCCAAGGTTATACTCTTGCAGCTCAAGTGTTAAACTATCTTCTTTTCTATCTATTAAGGATGTCTAAATATGTTAAAAGTCATTTCTATTCACTTAAAATCTCTTTCCTTCTTTATATACCAATGAAGCTACTTAACTACAGATAATTTTGACATTGATTTATATAATTTCATTAAAATTTAAACATAAAAGTTGGGTTTTTTTTGTAAGTTTTCTTGCATTATTTAAAACTCATGGTAGTTCATAAGATTATATTTCAGTGAATACAGTTAAAAGAGGGAAATCTTCACATAAAACCAAATGGAAGGACAGTTGTTGCATCTGCTGTGAAGCCCAAGTTGACACAGTATTATACAGGTATATAATTGCATATTACTTTCTCTTAAATGAACATGAGGGAAATTTACATACCCCGCACACAATTCTTATGTATTTACATGTCTCACGCCTAAACTTTCCTATTTACATACATAGCACTTTGGAGCTTTAATTTTATGCATGAAAATATATATTTCACCTTTAGAAGGTAGTAATAGTCCTATTTTTTAGGTGATATTAAGAATTTGAGTGCTGTGTATTTAAATATGAAAATTTAGAAGTGAGATACGTAAATAAATTACAATTGCGTGCTATGTGTGTAAATGCCCCAAAAATAAATAAATAATTTTATGCTAATTATATGTCTGCAATGTTCTTATAGATGTGGGCACATGTGTGCCTGTTTCAAGTGTTCTCAAGGTCTGCAATGGAGCAATGGTAATTGTCCCATTTGTCGTTCTACAATCATTGATGTTGTTCGAGTATATCCAAACATCTAAAATTTAAGCTTTCATTTGGTTACTTTCTTTATTTTTGTCAAAAAAAAAAAAAAAAAAGGGCCAGCAAAATATAGAGACTGATTAAGCTGTTTTTGAAAAGGTAGAATGTGTAGTGGCTCAAAGAAAAAGAAAACTAATAAAGTTCTGGAATACGAATCATACAAAATGAAGCCCAATTTTGAGGATGCAACACCTTACCAACCATTCAGGTTTTGATAGTTTTAGTTGTATGTATCTGATTTTCTTTTGCTAAATATATCACATTGCAGTTCCTGGCCAACAAGGTAGTGATTACTAGAAATAATATCAATTTCTATTGTTACAAAATGGAAATTCTTATTATGATTATTATAAATAATATCACTTTGTTTGAAAATGTTTGGAAGGATTCTGAGTGATTGGAGCTCGGTTTAATGCGGTTCATGAGCTAATCTTGGTAAGAATAAGTTTGAGCCTTTTTAAGCCTCGTCTTAACACATTGTTAGCTTGATTCTGTAATTCTAAAATTAAATGTAAAATACAATTGTAATGATTAGAATTTATGGGTTTAAATTTCTTATTACTTCTCTATTTAAATGCAAATTGTATCCAACTCCTTCAAATGTCTTAACGCATTGTTAGCTTGATTGTGTAATTCTAAATAAAATGTAAAATGCAATTGTAATGATTATAATTTATGGGTTTAAATTTCTTATTACTTGTCTATTTAAATGCAAATTGTATCCAACTCCTTCAAAATTCAAACTTAGAAAGCCCTTCGGGGCTTAGTAGGTGTTGGATTCAAATATGTCTTGTAGATCATGTCAAAGGAATAGAGCGTTGGGCTGATGAAAGGAGATTGAGAGAGGGATAGAAAGAGAGAAATAGAAGAAAGAAGAGTAAGACTTCCCCCACTGGAGGGGGAGAGAAATGGGGTGTTCCCGAGATCGATGACCCATTTTATTTCATTTGAACAAATGAGTTACAAGAGAGGGGAGCCAAAAGTTTCTCTTATATCATATAGCTCTCCTATTTATAGAAGATAGGAGGGCTAAAAAATATAAAAATTAGATATTTAGTCCCGCTTTAAAGCGAAGAGAAAAGGGCGTTCTAGTCCCCGTCTTATTCCGACCATTATATTATCTCGAGATCCGTGCAAAATATTTTTGAGTATACATATTAAGTTCCTCAATTTTTTTGTTTCTTGATAGTGACAACTGCAATAAAAATAAGAAAATTTAACAAATAAATCTTGAACACATAATTTGCTAATGATACTCCCTGTTAGACGTTTTTGCGCTCGATTTTGGTATCTTTGTCATCATCTTCTGGATTTATTATTATGGAGTTTTCTAGTCAGGGGAGTCGTCAGGTTCTGTCAGGTTCTGGTGGCAGGTCAGCAGGTCAGAGAAAGAAGTCGGTCGTTGGAGGAAAAGTAGGTCGTCGGGGAAAAAGTCGGCAGATTCTGACAATAGTTCATTTAGCCTAACGAGTATGGTGACCCTTTTAGTCTATACATGAATCCCTTTAGTTTTTTTTTCTCTTTGAGACAATGCTTCAATAAGAATGAGAAACCCATGAATACAGAAAAGATATTCTTTCCTTAGCCCTTAACTTAGTTTATTTAATAGCCATTTCATTAACCTTTGATGAGTACATTTTTTTTAGAAGATTATTGTTTAAGTTTGTGGATTTTTTGGATATGATGTTTGTCCAACTCAAGTTACACCCCTTACGGAGCTTGTCGTTGTCAGGTGGCGAGTCATCTTTGTGGTCAAAGATGATCGTTGTACAAACCCTCGTGGAGATTGTCGCTGTCGAGTAGCGAATTGTCTATGGGGCTGAAGATGTTAGTCGTATAGTGTAGGGTGGTGAATCTTTGTTGAGTTTGTCGTTGCCGAGTGCCAAAACGTCTATGGGGCCGAAGATGATTGTCGTACACCCCTCGCGGAGCTTATCGCTGTAGGGTGGTGAATCTTCTCTGGAGTCAAAGAAAATTATTGTGCATCCCTCACGGAGCTTGTCAATGTCAAGTGGAGAATCGTCTCTAGGCCATAAGAGCACGGTTCTAACCTTTTACTTGCATATGTTCCTGTTTGTTCGATCGAACCTCCTTCTTAGGTTAGGTCCCCTCTCTATCAGAGGAGGCCGCCTAGACTCTTCTCCAGGATGATTGTCATCGTACTCTTCACAAAGCTTGTCGCTACTGAGCAAGGAATCATCTCTGGATGTTTGTCTGATATGAACTACGAGACTTGAGCTCATTGTAAGAAAAGACTCGTGACTAGCCCTTTGTGAATTTTTACCGATGGGATGTCCATGGCATCATTGTCGGTTTTTCTACCCAGGTTTGAAGTGGGGAGCATATAACATAAGCCCCATAGGTGATGAAGCAGCCGGTCGAATGGGGAAGCGTTTGAAGGAAAAACAGTCGTGAGACTGTCCATGCAGATTTTTTTCTCAACAGAGAGGCAGAAAACATATGTGATCTCTAGATATGGAAGTGGGGAGCAGATCGATGGGAGAATAGATGGAGTTTCTTTGTGATCGCCTGTGATGGCAAAATAAATGGAGTGAATCGAGTAATGTGCTAGTTTTCCTTATGCTTTTTGCTAGCAGTATTGCCGTTACTCATCTTCTTGTTAATGATATGATTCACGCTCATCAAATTTATGTATGAAAACACGTATTTTATCTTTCAAGGAGCTAGTGATTGCAGTATTTTTTATGCATGTAAATGCACCTTTTTATTTCAACTTTAGATGTAATATATAACTCTAAATTAATAAACTTATGCATAATCCAAAAATAGGTTTTTTGACTCCCCCCGCTTGTAACCTCTATTTTGATGGAATAAAATGAGTCCATGAGCCCGGAAACACCCCGATTCACCCCCGAGGGGGCAAGTCTGCCTTTCTATATCTTCCTCTCTCTCTCTTTCCCTCCCTCGTTCTTCTTTCCTTGGCCTCGTGCTCTATTCTTTGGGCACGATCTACCAGACGGATTTGAATTCAATACCAACATATGCACTATCATTTCTTATCATTTTTTACCTCATTAAGATTGTAGAAAGGTCTTAAACAAATTGAAACTATATATACAATTGTTCTTTCTAAAAGATACTAATCCATAAAAAAAGTACCAATCAAAGTTGATAGCAATGCAAGTATCCTATATTGAATGCTTGCACAAAATCACCTTGTATTCTACCCTTGCTTGCACAAAACTGCAATACCATCATTTAAAGAAAAATAAGTTGCAAATCATTAAAGTTATATTATTTCAAAGGAGGCTAAAATGTACAAATGGTAACATAATACTTGTTAAGAAAGGTTAATAACTTTGATGTCCCCTGTACCTTGTTACAAAATGTGAAATTTATATAATACAATCCAAACATAGATGCATGATGAGATAACTTATAATAGTTAATGACAATGATTTTTTTCTTCCATAACTATTTCTGAAACAATCATTTTTTCACAAAAGAATTGCAGTTATGTTTGCACATAATGATGAATGATATGTACCTATAACTCTGCCGCACACCCTGAAAGTGAAATTTGATTAAGGATTTAGAGTTAAATATGGTGTTAATTTCACAAAAAGAAAAACATTTAGCTTAATATATACTCTTATGAAATTGAAGTGAGTTGCGAAAGTTGTGATTGTACTTGAGAATTACAAGAACTGTAGGATTCTTAGCTTAGTACGCACTCTTCTGAAATTGAAGTGAGTTGCAAGAGTTGCGATTGTACTTAGAGTTACGAGTTGTAGGATTCAAAGCTTTTGTCAATATTGACCTCCTTCAGACCTCTTGCTCACTTGACTTCTGTGAAAAACAATCTTTTTCCATCAAATCTGAGTCTATTAATTCCACCTCAATCAATTGCATCAATGTTTCATTGATCCCATAAGATGTCGGTGAGACCTACAATACTTTATAGCACAACATGTTGGCTCGTAAAGAGAAACATAAAGTTAAGTTGATTGTTGTCGAGATGAGAATGCTCAGGTTGATGAGTGACTTTACACTTCGAGATAAAATATGAGACGGAAACAAGTATATCGGTGAAAGGGTTAGAAAGGCTCCAGTCGCCGACATGATTATACAGAGCCACATTAGATGATTTGGACATTTTAAACGTCGACCATTTAATGACTTTGTTAGGAGAGTATGTTGTGGTATGTATAACATTAAACAATCGACGACGAAACGAAAAATTAAACGAGAAAATTCACACAAAAAAAGAACACACAGATTTACGTGGTTTGACAAATTGGCTACTTCCAATGAGTCGTAGAGGATTTTATTATTTGAGGAATTTATACCATCACTGATCACGTTGACAATTATAAGAAGAACTTCTCACCTCCTCTCTCTCTCTCTCTCATTTCTCATCTCTCCTCTCTCTCTCTCTCACTTTTCCTCTCTCTCCTCTCTCTATGAGCCACTGAGGGAGAATTAAAAGTATAAACGGAGAAGAACGAAGCCTTACAATTCTTGTCATGCTTGGAGTTCGACATCAGAAGCTGCGAGATATTTTTTTTTTTATCTTATAAAGAACGTTTAAAACTATAATAATAGTAACTATTAGCGCTTTGGGAAATTTGGGCGCAGAAAAGCCTGCACATCCTGAGCTATGAGAAATTTCAACGTAATTTCAAGTAATTTTTTTTTTCTTAGTTCCAATAAAGATCATTATAAATCAGAAGAAATGGTTGAGCTTAGCATGGGAAAAACTGTGAGAATCATTCGCATTCCCTCTCGACTGTCCTCTCGACGGTCCGGCGGTAAAGATCATAACAGGAGAGAGACGCCGGAGAGGTGGTGTGTTGTGGCTGTGTTGGTGGTTGGGTAGTGGCTCTGTTTATGTTGTGATGGCTTTGGTTATGTTGTATGTTGATAGCAACATTTTGGGTGTGTGATGGTTGTATGTAATTGCCTTAAAAGAAAATTTTCATTAAAAAAAAAAATCTAAGATTATAAATTAAAAATGATTAATTTATGTTTTTATTAAACAATTTTTTCGGGCTCGAGCCCTAAATCTGACTATCTGTTTTTTTTTAATTTAAATTATATTTTACATGTAATTCTAAAAATACAGAGCTATCTTTTTTTTTACCTCTTTTCATAAAATAAAATTAAATTAATTATTTATTCTATAGATAATAGATTATGATATCTTAGCTATGCACATTTACAGAGTTACAGTCTCTTTAATTAATCCAACCGGGCCCACCTCGGACTAACAATCTCCTTTATTTCTCCTTCAAATTTTAGAAGCCATCGAGTTTTTTTAGTTCATTATTATTACTATTTATTATTTATTTTAAATTTAGTTTTCGATCTGCTTCATTAAGAATTTGCATTGAAATTTTGATCGATATATATTTTCTCTCTGCACTTTTTGTTTTCCAATTTTCAATTTCTTTTTTTAATTTGATTGCTAAAAAAAAGAAAAGACTTTATTGTACACATGATTCTGCTACCATTTTATTCTTTATTTTTTTTATCTTCATCATAAATAATAACTAGTTTAATTTATGAGATTGAAATTTAATTTTTCAAATTAAATTTAATGCTTTGATCTATATAGTTCAATCTGCATATTCGTATAATCGAAAATTTTGCAATATGATGTTATTATATAACTCTCATCATACCATACAATAACATAATGTTATTATATAATATATTTTCTATATACGTACATCTCATCAGTAAAGCTCAATCAATGAAATCAACTTTAAACCCTATCAATTCAATTATATATTAAAAAAAAAAAAAGAACTTGCCTTATACAAGTGAGAGCCTTATACAAGTGAGAAAGACAGCAAATTTTTCAATAATTATAAAGTGGCATATGATAAGTTGAAATTTTTGGAGAGGAAATTGTATTAAAAATGAAAAAGAAAATAGATAAAGATAATAAAATTTGAAAATGATCATGATGAATCTGAAAATTATTAAATTTATTTTTGAAAAGAATATAATATTAATTATCTTTCCATTTTATTCAAGTAAAAATAACTTTAAAAACTGAGTAGTTTAAATCAGTTTGGATGAGAAGAGCTTGTTGATATCTATTTACAAAATTGTTGTAAATAGCAAAAACATTTTAACATTTTATTTATATGTTTTCATTTATTTTAACCATGAAAATAAAATTCTCATTTTTTTTTATTTTTAAATTGAAAACAAAATTTATGAGTTTAAGCGAATGTAAAAGCCCTTAGTGGTTAGTACCATCCATAATCAAGAATTAAGATCAAAAACTATTCTTAAATTGCGGCTCAGGGTAGCGGCCGGTGCGTTCGGGGGAATGCGAGCAGGACACGAAGCCCAAAATATATGTAGTGATTTCAATTACGATCCTAGAAAATTGAATATTTATGCTTTGCACCCTGTAAAGTTTCAAGTTTAGATACTATGTTTTTTGTATGCATTCTTTCAATTTTCATTCATTTGTAATCTTATAAACTAACAGACGATGAATTAACCTTTTAAAATTCTTTTACCCATAACTTGACTCTCTGGTTATGGGTAGTCTAAGTAGATACTTCTTTCGCGGATATTAGTTTAAGGTGTCTTCACCCGAACTTGTTTTGGCGGATCTTCTTAACCTATCCTTGCGAGATTTATCGCACGTAGACTCTCTACGTTTTACTTTTTCTCTTGTTTGTCTCTTTGTCGTATGTCTCTTTTTATTCGATTCTTCTCCTCTTCAAATCATTTATATGGTTCGGGAGGGAGATTTATTCGAATGGGGGAAGTATACGACGATCAACAAGCTAACGATTCATTTTAAAATAAAAAAGAGAAAAATGAATGGAAACAGTGGCGTGATAACTAATTTTTGTCGATCACATATGGACACCCTACACCTATGATACCCAAAAATTGATGCCAACAAGCTTTTACATTGAGAAATGAGCTCTCATCTTGCCATGATCTCTCTCTCAAATCACCTTCATACAAAATCTCCAAGATTCTCTCCTCACTCTCTACAAGTTATCCTCTTCTTTCTCTAACAAACTGATTTTCTTTCCTTAGTCACCACTCTACAAGCCTCCCTCATAATTTATAACAAATGAGTCTTCCACAAGTAGACCCGGTTCACCAATTGGAAGCTTCCATAATTTTTTAACAGCTTTGATAGAATTATGAGTATGTCATTGCCTTAGTTTGCTAATTGTGAGTCATTGTAACACAAACAACAAGTCTTTATCCCACAAAGTGGGGTCGGCTACATGAATCCTTTTTTAGTGTCATATTTTCATATAATTCTAATAAATTAAGTTCATTTTTTATACAATATACTCAAGTCTTTATTCCTCTATCTCAGCCTTTCTTAACATAAATCGAATTTAAAACAAATGTTCTGCTAATTGAATCATCAAATGGTCGACATGTAACGTGACCAAACCATCTAAAACGACTTTCTCTACACAAGATACTTGATAGATAATCATTAGGTAAAGAGAATAACAAAAAAGCAACAAGAAGAACAACAACAAGCTTTTATCCCACAAAGTAGGGTCGGCTACATGAATCCTTTTTTAGTGTCATATTTTCATTTAATTATAATAAATTAAGATAATTTTTTATACAATATGCTCAAGTCTTTCTGCTCAAACTCAGCCTTTCTTAACGTAAATCGAATTGAAAACATCTACTCTGCTAATCAGATTATCGGATGGTCGACATGTAACGTGACCAAACCATCTAAAATGACTCTCTCTAATTTTATGCTCCAATGGGGCTACACCAACTCTGTCATGGATATATTCATTTCGCAAAAAGAATAACAAAAAAAATTACAAAAAAAGTTATTAACTCTGAAAATAATCTCATTAGATGAATGAAAGTATAAATAAGTGTATCCACTAGTTGTAATAACCAGAGAGTTGGCAAAGCCAAAAGAAACTAAGAATTGTTGTATTACAGGTAACAAGGCACAAGGTGCTTCCTTGAGGACAAAGCTGGCTTTGCAAAGTATGTAAATAACCGTAAAGTTTTGGCTATAAAGATGCCCACAAGTAGATGGCATTATTGATATCAAGTTGATGAAGACATCATCACTAACTAAAAGTCAAGCTGAGAACCAACTATAGTGATGCATGCTTGACAAATGGGTCAAAAATGTCATGATAGTCAAGTCCTAATCATTCGTGAACCTTTAGCCAGCAATTAAGCTTCTTTGTAAATGTCAATAGAGCCGTCAAATTTATATTTACTTGAAAAATTCACTTGACCCAATAAGATTTTGAGTGAAGGTAGAGAGAACAAGTCCAATGTTCCCTTCTAAATAAGAGCATCATAATCATCCAAAATAGACCCGGACCAATTATAATCTTCTGATTGTTTGGGTTATATTTGTGGATTGAAGCTGAAGTGATAGGTTTAGTGTGATTGTGATAGTGCATTATAAATTGGTTCGTTAATATTATTTTTGGCGTAAGTAGTGTCTAATGAGTATTATCCGGGTAGAAAGGGAATGGTTTGTTTGTTGTTGTTGTTTATTATTGTAGAGGAAGGTAGAAGTTTTGGCATGGTTCATTTAGTGGAAGATTGTTAAGATGGGCATTATAGAGATGAAAGTTATAGATGGTGAGCACGAAAGTAGCCTTGCAGTGTGGAGAAGGGGTATGATATGGTGATGCCAAGAGAAGATTACTTCTTCAGATTACGAAACAAAGAAAAAGATGGAAGGGGAAGAATTTATTCAATAAATTGTACATACGGGAGAGATAGATTTTATAAGTAGTAATGTCGTGGCAAAAATATGAAGTTTGAGTGAGTATTTTAGGATGAGATGAGGTGTTTGGAGTGAGATTCAAGTTTATTTGTTTTGACAGGAAAAGACATAGGTAATAGAGGTGGCCAAATATACAAAGTTTTGAATGGTCGGAAGGCAGGCCAAAGAGGTTTTTATATGGAGAGGACACGATAAATGTGGATGTGCGCAGATGATTTATGAGATAGATTGATAAGGCAAAATTATGAATTCAAAAGAAATGTGAAATAGATGCATGGGATAAGAGAGAGAACAATCTGATAATATGTCAATGATATCTTTTATAGTACCTATTATCTTCAAGTGTGTGTGATAAGCTAGTGAGATGGAAAATATCACTGGCAAAGGTGAATTTTTCAGTATAAGGTAATGATTTTACAATTAAAATATTTCTCCAAGGCATTGAAGATAATGAAGACAGCATAAACATGAGGATTTTGCTTGTGTGGATGGTACTACATGTATTTGGTATGATGATTGACAAAAATGACAAAGTGTTTGAAACCATAATAGAATAGAATGGGTGAGGTCCACACACCCAAAAAAAATATTTCAAGAGACAAAGCATATATAATAATAGTGGCAAAGAATGAAAGGTTATGAATTTTATCGCACTGAATCATACTGCAAACTAGAGTTGATGAAAATGACAATTATAAACTCAAATTGAATCGTGAAATAATATGTTTAAGGATCAAAATTTTGGATAGTTTAATTTATAAGGCCAGTCAGATGAAGCCATCTTGACAGTAGAAAAAATTAAGTGGAGCTGATTGGAGAGAAATCATTATTTTGCTTTGATAAACTGATTTCTCTCGCACGCATCCATTACAAGAAATCAGTAAGAGATTCAGCTCTCTACAAATAAATGATTGGATTTAAAAAACTAAAACATGAAAATAAGGATGCTTTTCAAACAAGGTACAAAAAGTAGATTATTTAAGGAATTTTTACAAAAGTTAGAAAACAAAGAGGTGGGATTGGTGTGGTTTATAGGTAAACCCGTGCCATCTCCAATCATAACATCATCCAAGCCATTATACAGAGTGCGAGGAGAGAAATTGCACAGATCAGTGGTGATGTGAGAAGCACCACTCCCTAGTGGCCAGCTGCGAATGATAAAAAATGTTGTTGAAACCATAGTGGTCTTGTGATTGAATCAGTTTAAGAAGATCAGAATCTTGAGAGCTGTCAGTAATTAAATCAATAAACTCAAACCCCATCTCCAAAATCACTCCCAAGTTACTGTAACCCATCAATTCTCGCCAGAACTAACAAGTTAAATTAAAGATCAAATGAAATAAACAAATAAGAGAAAAATTAGATCCAAAAAAAGATGATGAAGAATCAAAGGGGAGAAGAGGACCAGTAATGAGATTCATATCACAGGGAACGATACACTCGTCATAACCGGTATCGTCATCTTCTCCAGTCTCAGCCGGTAATCGTGTTCCGTGTCCGCTGTAGTGAACAAAAAGGTAATCGCCGGGTTCCGCGGAGTGAACAAGGTTGGTGATGGCTCGCCGGATGTTTGCTCCGGTGGGTTGGGTGTAGGCGGTGTCACTGTCGATCAGTACCTTGATGTCACTCTCCTTGAAGCCGTAGCGATCTACCAGGCATCGATGGACTCGTCGCACGTCGTTCACGCAACCTTTCAGCTCCGCCTTGGTTCCCGGATAGTTGCAGCCGATCAGCACAGCTTTCTTCGTCATTCTTCCGCCGTCAATATCGGATTAAAGTCCGGCGATCTATGGGATTGACAGATTTCCGAAGTTTTTGGTCGGGAGCCGGCTTCCACTCTTGTAATTATGAAATGTGCGGTGTAGCCGTCAGTGTGGCCGCGGGAACAAAGAGGTAATCGCCGGTGCAGCATCGCGGTCGCCGCGTGCGGGTATAGGAACGGCTACAGGGCACGGAGCCAAAAATATTTGTGATTTCACTTTCGTTCTCAAGAAATTGTATATTTATGGTTTTAACCCTGTCAAGCTTCAAGTTTAGATACAATGTTTATTGCTTGATTCTTTTAATTTTCATTGATTTATAATCTTATAAACAAACGAACAGATTAATTTTTTAATTTAATCTTAAACGCGCTTTCTGCTACGATAATCAGGGATCTTTTTTTTATTTTTTAGGGCTGGAATTCTTCTTTTTTTTTTAATACAAAATTATTTTTTTTAATTTATATTAATAAATTCTTACATTCTTTTTGGAATATTAGCAAATAATAATTTAATGAAAATATTATTTTTTGCTGTATAATTAATGTAGCATATTTAAATTGGGTTTTTTTTTCAAAAAAAAAATAATAATTTTATTTCGTCTTAATAAATATTTACATGCTAAAAAAAATTACATATTTTTAGATAAATATGCAAGATTTTAGCCATTTTGTTCTTCCTATTTGTTCTTCCTATTTTTTTCACAATCTAAATAAAAAAGCTACAAGCTCTTTGTTTGATTTTATGAAAAAAAGTTAAAAACAGAAAGTTCTGTATTTTTAGAATTACATGTAAAATACAATTTAAATTAAAACAGTAGGCAGTTGGATTTAGGGTTGGAGCGCCAAAAACTGTCCAATTAAAGTAAAAACTTTGTATGACCGTCACTCTCTACAACCATTGCCTAATCGCCTGCTTCATCAAATAGCTCACCATCTCCGACTGCATCACATATATATCATAAGAGCCCCCACCAAGGATTCACATTGAACAAATAGCAATATAATAAGAACTTAAATGTATTATTTTTCCACTTTCTTTTTCTTAAGTGCATATGCTCCTGCTCCTGCACCGCAGAATGTCCCGTTCCAACACTTACAAAAATTATTACGTCCCTCGCCCGGAAATTGAGCCACATTCGGGCGACCTCCGCTGTATCACGACTGTCGTCCGGACGCAGCATGGGGCACCTAATAATCTGTCCAGCACTCGGGACACCTTCTCCCAGAAGATTTGAACTCTTGGCTGTCGCACCACGTGTCCGGCTTCTTCCCTGCTAAGAGCTTCACGGGCACTATCAGACCTTCCAGGGGGCAGGGAAATGATTCTCACAATTTTTCCCATGCTACTCTTTCCAAATCCCTCAACCAATTATGGGGATGTATTTATAAAGATCTTTATTAACGAGCACGCTGAAGCCAGCAGCCTCTTATTGGCAAAAGGAACAATAAGGTAGTACGACCGCAGAAATATAAATTAAGATGTTCACGTCATTCAAATATGAGATTTTATACGGCGCGGCGTTTCCTTTCATTTTTATATTTTACGCAGGTAAAATCTGAAGAAATTTCGTGAATCAGAGCTTATATGTCTTACGTGTTTATTTTATATCTGAACAAAATTTTCTTAACAATTATGTGTGTTGCATAAGAGGACTTATTCTTTTTTGTTTAGGGTTGGATCTTCTTACAAACAAGTCATACATGTGATTAAGATATATTGCTTAATATTCTTATTATATGCCTCTCACAATTGTTTAATATTCTTAATATTATTATTATATATCTGAACAAAATTTACTTAAAACAAAATATCTCGCAGAAGCTTCTTATGTCGAAAAAATTTGAAGAAAATAAAATATATTAAAAACCAGTTTAGACTCGACGGCTTAAAAAATAATTATATTAAAAATCAGTTCAAAAGTGAGATGAATTTGAAAATCAGTCATTGGAAAATTCTTCAAAAATAAACTAAAAGACCGTTAAGGATGGTTTCACTATCAGTTTAGACTCAACAAACCGAAGCAGATGAAGCAGATGAAGCAAATGAAGCAGATTTTTTTTTTTATAATTTTGTTAAATTTATAATAGCTGATTCAAGGAATTAATACAATTAATTCATATACAGTTTTTGAAAATAAGAAAAAAAAAAAAAAAGCTTTCTGTAAATAATATTACGTGTGAGTGGGGTCCGCATCGTCTTAATAAAAAAGAAAACAAAAAATTCCACCCCTAAAAGGGCAACACATTTTACCCATCAATCCCACCCTTAACACCAAAGTTCCAGGGTCTGTTTGGGTCAGCTGCAACTTATCCAACTTCTGCTGATAAACAGTTTATCCTGATATTCTGCTGATGACCAGCTGATCCGGATAAGCTGTCTGGTTGTTTGGTTAGTGCGTCTGGAAAACAGCTGATTCTGTAAAATTGACCATTCTGCCCTTGTTTTAAATAAGTTGTTTAGTTTTTTGGTTAGTGCGTTTTGTAAACAACATATTTGCAAATTTTTTTAGTTGAATGAATAATCTGTGTAGCAGAATGTTATTTTCTCAAATGTCAAGAAATGAAAATGCAAAAAAGTTTAATAATATTTATATAACTCAAAAAAGTTGTGATTACATCAAAAAAGCATAGTGACATATATGAAAGTTCATTACACGTTTATGAAAGCCTAATATGGATTATAATAAAACCCCTAAAAAAGAAAAAATAATATGTTAAAATTACAAGGAAAAATATGACAATATTGAGTTTAACATGTAAAATCACATCATGACGAATGTTGCCCGGTTCTGATACCTCAAAACCCCGAGCAAACGTGTCCGACTGGGGTGCGGTATACACGGAAAAACTTGAACCATATGCGGTGGTGTCCTGTCGTGGTACTGTCGAACTCCTAGTAGCTGTGTCCAATTGGGATATCGTAGAAACAGTTGCATTGTCGGCCCACCTGAAGAATTTACAATCTTCCGGTCATTGTCCCCACCGCGGGCACCTGTAAAATTGCCTCACGAAGCTAGTGTCTGGCGTGACGTGAATAACAAAGATGGTAGTCCGCAACGACACATCACTTTCTCGGACTTCCCTGAATGTTTGGAACTCATTGTTCTGCAGTTATTAAAAATAGAATAGATCAGCCCAAAAATTTAGGAAATATAAAAAGTAAACTTACCCAAGTGTGGAGCCAGCGATTGCTGACAACAAATTTACGTGACCGTCCAAACTGCTCCACCGTTATCCACCATATAAAAGGTGAAGCTATTAACCAATATAAAGCAATATATCCACATTAATTATAAAATATGCTCAAAGCTGCTAATATAAACTCTAATATAAGCTTCACATGCCTCTATGATACTCATGATTCCATAAAACAAATCGCAAATTCAACATTTTACAAAAAATTCAGGTTTGTTCATAATTAAGCTTAACAGTACATTAGTGCTCAAATTTAAAAAAATGTATGTCTCATAATTTAGGTTAACAGTACAGTCTTGCAGGCGGAATGTGGGAGAAAGGAGAGGGGGAAACATACTGTGTAGCTAACAAAATTTATTTGAACATTACTGCAGCATTCAATCGACTAGGCAATGATTTCAACAACTTTCAACAAAGTCCCAAATGGATTCCCCCAATTCCATCATAAAAAAAATAAATGGCACAATGGTTGCTTTAATTATTTAAGTCATCCTAAAGTGCCAAATTTTT